CTAGTATTCGTAGAAATAGAACTCTGCCTGGGAGATTCGCTGGTTCCCGGCGTCTCTCGGCTTGTGATTGGCAAGTAGGACGCAGATGACTATTAATCGCCATATTGTTCCACTGGGCCGGGATTCCGGCCCAAAGTCACTTGACTAAGTGACGTAATTGCAAATAACAAAAGAAACAGTTTTATTTTATTTTTTCTAGGGCCACGAGCGTAAGCGCTGACGTCAGGTAGCCAAGGGCACGGTTACTAAAAGTTCTTAAAGTTAAAAGTTAGTAACCGTGCCAAGGGTAATAGGACAAACAACGAAAAAGTGACGGACCAATCAGAATGCCGGAACCGTTACTAGTTACCGGCCTCTTGAGGCGGGAACCAGCCAAGTGTTACCAATGACCTTGTCTTCGCGACGCACACACAGCCGGGACAGGGGCAAACCATTCATAACATAGGGTTGGAACTGTAAATGTATGTGAAAATGAGAATTACCTTCGTTTGGACTTATTGCCGAAGTAAGTAATAACAGCCAACTTAGATAGAATTTCTGTTATTTTTTTTTCTTACTCACGTTTAGTTAATATAAACATTAAAACAATAATTTCGACGTGCCTAGGTGGGGGTGAGACGAACAATAAATGGCACATTCCATCTTGAGAACCATCTTGCAAAACTGCTTTTCTATGCGCATGTGTCCTATGTTACAGTTCCTTGTTAGCAATTCTCGAATTCTGCTTCTTTTTAAACGGCGTTTTTTCTCCAGTTCTCATTTAGTGTTCGGTAAGTTCATAAATTTACTGATGTGTTGTTAGCATGTTTTGTGACTGTGCTTAGCTGCTTTTCTTACTTCATACTTTATTTGGTTCTTGTTTATGAAAGAGTCCCATAATCAGCAACCGCTGCGGAAATCGTACACACACACATGCATGGCGATCCTGGGAAATTTAAATCAAGATGGTTGTAACATATTTTACTTCAATTTATACTCAATTATACAACGCACAAAATTAGTGACTTACAAAACTGTTATTGCTTTCAAGAGTAAGTGTTACAACTGCACACCAGGGAGTACAGCTCCCTTATCAGTGCGCCTTATCAGTTTCATTAAAAAAAAAGTCATCAGTGGCATATTGACACATCTTGGCGTTGTCACACTAGCATGGTGGTAAAACAATTAAAGCACTATTGTGCTGCATCACACTGTTTCGATCATGTGCACATACAAATATTTTGGATCTTTTATTCTATTGGGAACTGTAAAATACCATACAATTTACAAACAGAATCCAATGTCACAATGACAAACTATAATTTGCATATTACTTGGATAATTAACCAATTTCAAGCATTTCCATGGTACCATTAAACAGTTGAACAATGCGATGAGAATTCCGATACAGTTTGGTACGCAGAATCAAATTAACATGTGGAGGAAATTTTGTACTGTATCCAATGAATGTATCTTAGACCATGAAAG